GCGCCTGTCATCCCAGCTACTTGGGAGGCTGAGGCAAGAGAATCACTTAAGCCCAAGAGTTTGAGGTTGCTGTGAGCTGTGACACCATGACACTATCAATGGCAACACAGTGAGACTCTGTCTCAAAAAATTAAAGAGCTGGGCCATGGGGCTTGTGGGAGCCCCTCCCAGGAGCATAGGGCCACCCACTCACCCGCCCTGGGATACCACAACTGCCCTAGGGTGACAAAGCCAGCCTGAAATCCTAGACCCACCAGCTCCAAACCAGGCTCCTGCCTCAGCACAAATCTCGACTCAGCCTTAACTTACCATCCCCTTGCTGAGGAGGAACAGCGCCCTGGAAAACAGAGACAGGGAGTCAGGCTCTAGAAGGCCCAGAAGCCTCCCAGATAACTTGGGCTACCCCAACACTCACAGGACCGAATGTGCCTCCTCAGGGGAAGGTTAAATGGATGACATGGAACAGTCCTCAATGAATTTTGTTTTATTTACAAGACTGCTAAATTTTGTCCTTTTCCATCTGTATTTACTTTTCTTGCATGGTTCAGACATACTAATGTGGTTAAAAAGTTCAGAAGACACATACAGGTGCTCAGAGACTAAGATTAGAGTGCTATGCCATGTTCCAGATAGGTAGAACATGGCACAGCACTCTAATCTCAGTCTTGCTGACACAGAAGACATGGGCTCAGGATCTGTGGCTACACTGGGCGGGGGCAAGCAGGCAGGCGCAGGCCCGTTTGTCCTTCACTGCCTAGTTGGTAAACGTGGCTAAGCCCTCACCAGTTTCTTTCAGGGTTAAGGGGATGAACTTGGGAAGCTCTGGGTACATTAGCAGCCTCATCTCCATCCACCCCTTCCACCCTCAGACTTCTATAGCCTCTCTTAAACCTTTTGCACTTTCTTTCTCTCTCTCTTTTTTTTTTTTGTGTAGAGACAGAGTTTCACTTTATTGCCCTCGGTAGAGTGCCATGGCATCACACAGCTCATAGCAACCTCCAACTCCTGGGCTTAGGTGATTCTCTTGCCTCAGCCTCCCAAGTAGCTGGGACTACAGGCGCCCACCACAACGCCCGGCTATTTTTTGTTGCAGTTTGGCCGGGGCCGGGTTTGAACCCGCCACCCTCAGTATATGGGGCTGGCGCCCTACTCACTGAGCCATAAGTACCACCCAAACCTTCTGCATCTTCTTTTTTTTTAATTAAATCATAGCTGTGTACAGTATAGGATGAACCTTCTGCACCTTCTAAAGAAACATGTGCAGCTGTCTTTGGCAAGAAGAATAATGAAATAAGCATATCAAGGGAATTTTAGAAAACAGTATAAATAATGGAGGAGGGAGGTGGGTGGCCCTGTCCTACCTCAGTCCTGGAAACGTGCAGCATGCTGGCGGTGGGCCACGGGGACCCTTAGGAGCAGCTGTAATTGCAGTGCCCAATTTTGGGGAGCTCCATTTTGTCAACATTGAATCCTGCTTTGCCTGCCTTTGCAGAAAACCTGTATACTGTGGCTGACACCCTACCAACTAGGTGCCGCTCTCCCCATTTCATAGTTGAGAAGACCAAGGCAGAGAGGTCAAGTTTACACAGTGTGCAAGGGATAGAGCAGGGACATGTACCAGATAGCCTGGCTCTCCTGCTTATGCTCCAGGCCACAGTGGCTGTTTGTTCCCTGTTATTACCTCATGGGATGAATACTCAGGGATCTACCTACCCATCTTCTGATTCTTTTTTTTTTTTCCTTTTTTTGGCCTGGGCTGGGTTTGAACCCGCTATCTCTGGCATATGGGGCTGGTGCCCTATTCCTTTGAGCCACAGGGACCACCCCTTCTGATTCTTGAAATCTATGGGAGAAGCCATCACATTAAGGTTTCCATGTTGTCACACAAAAAAATATCACTTGCTGGTGGCGCCCGTAGCTCAGTGGGTAGGGCGCCGGCCACATACACTGAGGCAGGCAAGTTCACGCCTGGCCTGGGCCTGCTAAACAACAATGACAACTGCAACCAAAAAATAGCTGAGCATTGTGGCAGGCAGTCCCAGCTACTCAGGAGGCTGAGGCAAGAGAATTGCTTAAGCCCAAGAGTTTGAGGTTGCTGTGAGCTGTGATGTCACTGCACTCTATGGAAGGCAACATGGTGAGACTCTGTCTCAAAACAAAACAAATAAAAAACAAAACTTACTTGCTCAGAGGCCCTGAGCCAGGAGACCTGCAGGCGCTGTCCCTAGGCCACTGTGCACAGACTATATGTCAATACCAGGCTGCCTGCCCATGGCAGACCGTCTGGGAAACATACACGTGAATGGACAGGGTGGCCAAGTAATGGCTCTGCCATCCTCCCAGGTAGGATTCTAGGGATAAAGATATCCTTTGAGGAGCTGTTGGGAGCTGCCTGGTGCCCCATGGGCATGCATAAGTCTACAGCTCAGAGGGCACTTGAGAAGAGTCAGGGGCTGCTGTGCCATGACAACTCCATAGGACAAGCTCTCAGACAGGGTGCTGGGTCCCAGAGCACCTTTACTCAGGCCAGGAAGACCCTTTGCAGAAAGTTTCCAGAATCCCAACATACAGAATAAAAGCACTGCTGCATGGATCCTGCCTGCTAGAGAGGATTCTCACCCTTCCAGAAGGTGCACAGGCAGCACCAGAGACCTCTGACCCCTGAGCTCCAGCCTTAGGCACCAGTCTCCAGATAGTTTAAGCAGCTTCATGCATACGATACAAACCTATGTCCTTTCTGTTACACAAACACTAGCCTACTCTGCCTCCTGTTTTGCATGGACAAGCTCTTTGGCTCCCCTGAGCTGGTAACACTGATGTGGCCTACAATCATTGTCATGCACGCCCCACATCAATGAGGACACATCTGTGTGATGAAGCACAACAGCCTTGCAAATAGGACCAGCACTTTTTATTTCAAGAGATAACAGAAATGAGCAGTGCTGAAGGTGTGGTACATGCCAGCTGTCCCTCACCCTCAGCAACCCAACTCTCATAAAGTAAACATTTTACTTTATGAACCAACAGGGCAAAAGGTATCTTGATGAACTTTAATCCACATGTCTCGCATTATGTATGAGCGTGGTCATCTTTCCATGCTGAAATGCCATTTCTATTTGCTGTTCTGGATTAAGATGGCTGAGCCCTTTCTATGTAAGAATGTGGGAAGGGAGAAGGGGAGAGAGTGCCTACCGTGTGTACTCAGATCCCACCACCCGGGCATACTCTGCCCCCACGCCCAGGAGGTCACAGGCTGACACCAGGTCTTTCTCAAGCGTGTGCAGTTGCTAAAAAGGAGAGAAAGCAATAACTTTCACTGCCAAATCCTTCAGTTTCACAGTGCCTGGCCTGACTGCTTTGTTGGCAAGTTCAAACTCCCCACATGTTGACAAAATTGCCTCAGTGTCAGTTCTGAGCAAATTAGCCAAATTATCTCATTAACTGTTTTGGATATAGAGCTCCAGATTGCCTACAGTATATACATCATCTAAATTTAAGGGTACTTACAATATACATAGTCTAAACTTAATGGTATGTAGAACCAGCAGTTAATGTTCATTGGGCACAGACTCCCCCTCCACCTCCCCTTGGGGCTGCATGAGTGCCCAGGGCTGTTAAACTGCTTCCCAGGTGACCTGTAGGGTTGAATCACTGGGGGACAATCCCAGGGCCCACAAGAAGGGACTTCCCAGGGCCAGGTGTGGTGGCTCACACCCGTAATCCTAGCATGCCGGGAGGCCAAGGCAGGTGGATTGCCTGACCACACAGGTTTGAGACCAGCCTGAGCCAGAGCAAGACCTCGTCTCTAAAAAATAGCCAGGCATTGTGGCAGGCACCTGTAGTCCCAGCTACTTGGGAGGCTGAAGCAAGAGAATCACCTGAGCCCAAGAGTTTGAGGTTGCCGTGAGCTATGACTCCATGGCACTGTACTGAGGATGACAAAGTGAGACTGTCTCCAAAAAAAACAAACCAAAACAAACAAAAAAAAAAAAAAAATGAAGGGACTTCTTCAAGGTTAAGTATCTAGGGCAGTTTCAAATCTAGAAGCCCTAACAGGCCAAACTAGAGGCTACCACCTGGAACACTCAAAGGAGTATCTGTGGCACAAATGCATGGCCCCACCAACTCTGTGACCTGGGGCAGGATGACTCATTGCCTGGCTTGCTCCCTCCTGGGCACAAGTCTGTACATAATGATTAAAGGAGACAGAGTGTACTAGCGAGGCCTAAGCAGGCTTGCAGGGATAAGGACCTTGGGAGCCCCAGCTGCTGGGTGAGAGTTCTTCCTATCAGGGCACCTTCTCAACCAGACCCTCTTGGGGGTAAAAGGTTTCATGGGGGATATACCCAACCTAGGGTCCATACACTACATGCCTAAGCAGGTGACAGTGCTATGTCACGGGGCAGGGCCTGGACAGCAGGGGGTACCCAGTGAGGGGGAGGTATAGCAGAGCCCAGGAAAGAAGAGGTGCTCCAATGGTGGCACTTGCTGGCCCTTCCACTGCAGTTAGGAAGGCCCAGAGAGTCTCTCTACCAACTGAGCATCTAAGTGAGGAGGGACTGGGGCACCACCTGGGAAGCACTGTGTGGATTCTAGAATGAAACTGTGTCCAGGAGCACAAAGTGGGCTCTGGAAAAAAATGCTTAATCTGGGCATTTTAGCTCTTAAAGAAACACAGCAGGGGCTGGGCATGGTGGCTCACACCTATAATCCTAGCACTCTGGGAGGCTGAGGTAGATGGATTGTTTGAGCTCAGGAGTTGAAGATCAGCAGGAATAAGAATTAGAGTCTATCTTTACTAAAAATAGAAAAACTAGCTGGGTGTGATGGCACATGCCCTGTAGTCTCAGCTATTCCAGAGGCTGAGGCAAGATGATTGCTTGAGCCCAGGAGTTTTAGGTTGCTGTGAGCTATAATACCACAGCACTCTAGCCTGGGCAATAGAGTGAAAACAAAAACACAGCAGGCCTCTAGTAGGAAATGCTCAATCAGCACAGGCCAAACAGAATAGCCATGAGGCTGAGGTGAGCATCAGGCCCTGTGACAGTCCCCAGGGAGACAAGTACTCCCACCCATCACCCCTGGGTGCTATCAAGAGCCAGGCCCAAGCTGGAGGTACTGCTGAAGACAGACCCTAGAAGAGGCTTGTAAGCAGGTTAAAGAAACACCCTATATCTGTATCTGCTCCATATGGCAGCGCAAGGGGGCCTATGTGTCCCAGACTCTGCTGTTATTTGTACCTGGGGTATGTGTGCCCCAGATTCATGGCCCCTGTCCAGCCCTTGTGGGACCGTCCAGGCAGCAGTACTCACTGCAAGCTGGAAGAGCAGACGGCAGTGCCAGTATGGGGTCTGCTGAGAGATCTGGATCGCTTTCCGCAGCAATGGCTTTGCTGCATCAACAGAATTCTGAAAGGAAATAGTCACATTTGAAAAGAAATAAAAAACTCAAGCTGGCAATCAAGTTGGATTCCTTAGCAGCAGCTGTGGTACCAGAAGGCAGGTTCCTGTTCATACTTACCAAAGAATTTTTTTGGGTTGTCAATTAAGTTTATTAAAAGCAAGAAAGATATTTTATTTTATTTTTTATTTGTTTATTTTTTTTGACACAGAGCCTCAAGCTGTCACCCTGGGCAGAGTGCTGTGGCATCACAGCTCACAGCAACCTCCAACTCCTAGGCTCAAGCGAGTCTCCTGCCTCAGCCTCCCAAGTAGCTGGGACCACAGGCGC